TTCCTAGGTCTCCAGACTTTCCATTCTAGAACAGGGAAAGTCCAGGAAAATGAGGGTGAGCTGCTTATCTCCCGCTGCCCTCCCCACGCCCCCTGCCACCCCAGCCTGCTGTGCCACACCCCGGGCAGAACCTGCAGGCACTGTGTAGAGGTCACCCCATTCACCCTCGGACCCAGGGCAGGGCTGCCCAAGAGTCTGCGAGGCTGATGGGAACCTTTACACGTCTCTGGTGGCTGTTCACTCTCCCCGCCACAGCGTCCAGGAGCCCACACTCCAGAAGAGGCGGTGGGCATGGCCCCCACTCTCCAGTGGCCTATGTCCACGATAGGGCGTGCCCAGAGGTTAAAGCTGGTGTTACTGAGCAACGACCTCCACGTGGCATGGAGTGCATGCACATGGCACACGATGCTCACACAACCCAGCACTGCAGGGACCTTACCATCTGCACTTTACAGATGGGGAAACTGAGGTCGGCTGACTTATTTACCTCGCCAGAGCTCAGGGTCTGGGCTTGGTGAGATTAGAGCTCAAAGCCACTTCCTGTCCCGGCCCCATCACCCCTCTCACCCCAGCCGGGCCGGGGCCTGTCCCTTGCAGCAGCAGGATACACTGGCAGCAGCCACGCCCTCTCTCTCTTCAGATTCTTCCCCAAGTACACAGTGCACATTCCAGAAAAGCTGGCCGAGGGCTGAGGGGAGACCTAGGAACATGAGGGACGAGGAGGATGCCCATAACCAAGGCTTGATCGATCTGGAGCGTGACCTCTGGGATTCACTGACAGCCCTGGAGATGCCTCAAGCTCAGCCAGGCTCCTGGGCTAGGAGGGGGGCCCTCCCACCCCCCAACCTCCCAACCCCCCAGCGCCAGCTGACACTCACTGTACTAACACATGTACATGTGTTGCTCTATTTTTAAAAATCCTCCTTGGAAAGCTGTGCGTCCTGAACATGTGCAGTTTCTGTGCCGGGGGTGGGAAAATCTACAGCCAAACTCTACAAAATTATGTGTATTACATGCCCTCTGAGTCTCTAAAAACATGTACATTTCTCCTACAGCTGCTGTGGCCTTGCAGGAAACCTAATAACAAGAGTTTGCTGTTTTAAGCCACCAAGTCCTGGGTATTTTGTTATGCAGCAATAGATAACTGATGCAGGCATTACTGTGAACTCACTCGATTTTTTAAATTCAGTAAGAAGTAAGAAGCCTTCTTGCTAGCAAGAGTTGCCCAACAGTGGTCTGGGGCCAGAGAAAGAACAGGGAGAGGCGATGACACTCCCACGTCTGGAAGCCTGGTGGACAGCAGTGAACAGGTCACGCACATTCCTGATGGGACGACTCACCTGCGTGTGATCTCAGCTTTGCTAGTTCCACAGAAATCCGCCAAGCACCAGCTACATGCCGCAGCGTTGGAGGGACTAGGGGTAAGTCAGCAAACCAAACAAACAAGGACCACAGCCCTAGGGGAGTGTCCATCGGGCAACTTTCACCTGGTGACTCTTTGGACTTCATTTTGTCCCTGGTATAGATAGTTGCCCTGCTTGGTAATGAAGATGCTTCCTTGCCTGCATCACACAGGGACACCCAGAAAGCCGGAACTGTCCCCACACACCAGCTGCCCTCTCAAGCCACGCTTCTGCTACACCCAAGAACACAGACCCCCAGTCAATGGGTCTTGGACCTTGCTGCACACGGGGACCAGTCAGCTCCTCCTGATGGGCAGCAGGTCTCCAGCAGGTCTGGAGCAGCTCAACGTCACAGCCAGAGCTCTGCCCCCAGGGTGTGCCAGGCTTCAGTGCCAGTGTGGGGGCAGGCCAGCCGAGCACGTGGCTGCATCACCCACGGGCACAGCTGGACTGGGCTTGGCCCTCCCATGGCTCCTCGCAGACGTTGGCTTTAGGGAGCCTCAGCTGTTTAGAAAGGGCCCCTGCCTGGGGACAGAAGAAGGGAAAGGGGCAAACAGCGCAAGGCAAAAGATCCCAGCTGCCAAGCCCTTGGTAGCTCGGTACTCACGAGCACGACTCTGAGCAGCCCGGCGGTGCGGCCACCAGGGACCCCAACCAGGCCTGTTGCCTGCTCTGTGTAGGACGAGGCCTTCCAAGTGACATTTTCTTAGCTGGTTTTAAGCAAACGCCTGGTCATAATATTTGTGCTAAGTTGCCTTTTATGATTTTTTAAGCTCCTAGGCTAGCTCAAAAAGAAATCTTGAAAAGAAGGCCAGCTTAGCCAAAAGGTCAGGGGTTTGAAAACCAAACAGTGAGCTTAAGCGGCCAGGAAGAGCGCATTGCTGTTGGCATCTTCCTGTGCAGCTACGGACACTGGCTGGCAAGTGACAGAGCCCAGTGGCTGATAGAGGCACCCAGATGGCACAGTCATGGTAAGACCCCAGTGTTACTTCAGGCACCCCAACCCAAACCTGTTTCCTTAACTGTGGATGGTGTCTTCCAGAGGACAATCGGGTCTAAGCAGGCCTACTCTTGTCGGTGGGGCACCGCCCCTCCCACCCTGCAAAGTCGGTGCACAACCCTCTCAACAGCGTTCATTTCCCACCGAGACCCTTGGTAACAACCCTTCCCCAGGGTGTGTTCGTTTAACCGCTGTTTTCATCTTACTGGTGATTAAATCAAGGCACAGAGAAGCTGAAACACTGGCCCAAACATTAAGTAGCAGGGACAGGACTCAAACCCCGTCTGTCGGCTTCCCAGGCTGCCATTCTGGTTTCCAGCAAAGGGGCATTTGTGTTTCCTTTGAAGCTAGATTTTTAAGCACTCGTTTTTATTTGCTAAGATGTCCTGATGAGAATGTCAGGTTTCGGTTGAACAGGCAAGCCCAAAGCAGGTTGAGAACAGAGGAATAAATACGGATCCACGCGCCTTCAGCTCATCAGTCTGAACTGCTCCCTGCTGGGTGGGTCTGGGCCCTGGGTCTGGGTGGGGTTTCCTCGGCCTCACCCACCCTCCCCCCAACACCCTGTGATGACTCCCCCAGCCTTCTTGGGTTTCCCATTCCCAGCACAGCAGGTGCAGCCACTGACGTCCAGCCAGGCCCAGGGCCAGCTCCCTGGGGCTGTGACCCCAGAGCAGTGGCTGCTGACCTCAGACACTCCAGAGCAGCTCCTCCATCATCCCCCTCCGGGATCCCGTGTGGGTTGTTGGGAGGAGAGGAGCAGGGGAGGGTGCGAGGAAGGTCTGGAGAAGAGACAGCAGTGACCCTGCAGCCCCGGGCAGCCCCAAATCAGGCAGCAAGCTCGTGCCTGGCTGCCTTTGCCACCACTTCCTACAGGTGCGGGGAGGGCACGGGGGCAGAGCAGGGACCTGGCCCTCAAATGGCTCTTAAGCCAGGGCAGGGGCATCCTGCGAGAGCCCTCAGAGGACATGAGTGTGCAGAGGGCCGCAGAGCTTCCAGCAGGGACAGATGGACCCGTGAAACCCCAGACATACGCCCCCCTCATCACACACATGCCAGGGCCGCCAGGGCAGGGGCTCTGAGGATGACTTCTGATGACCAAGTCCAGACGCCACACAGACACTAGACCACCCCAGGCGCCAGGGTCAAGGATGGGGCCCAAGGGGTGCTGCTGTTGATTCTTTGCTTTCCCCTCGTTCACCCCTCCTAGACTCAGTGGTGCTAGGGTCCCCTGGGTGTTCAGCTTCGGGCACCCCAGGACACCCAGGAAGGAGGGACGGCCCAGCCCTGGAGGGGTGCTCCTGTTGATTCTTTGCTTTCCCCTCGTTCACCCCTCCTAGACTCAGTGGTGCTAGGGCCCCCTGGGTGTTCAGCTTCGGGCACCCCAGGACACCCAGGAAGGAGGGACGGCCCAGCCCTGCCAGCAGGAAGCCGCCTCCTTCGGCCCAGAGCCCCCTTCTCCATTACACCTAGCAAGCTGCAGGCAAGGGGGTGTGGCTTCCTTCCTGGGGGAATGAAAAACTGGGGAGACGAGCTGTTTGGGGGAGGGGAGCTGGAAAGATCCAATGCCCCAATACTCTGACGCACCCCACACCGAATCCTGGTGCCCTGGGGCGCTCACTGCGGCGGGCCGGGGAGCGCGAGGGGGCTGCGCGCCCCCCCCAACTCGGCGGGGCGGGGACT